GCTTGAGGTATTCGGCCAATCACAACGCACTGGATAGCTGGCCAATCAGAGCACACCTCGCTTTTCAGACCGATGAGCTTTGTAAAAACTTTGTAAAAAAAAGTTTCAGAAAGGCGGGGCATAGAGGAGAAACAATAATGTACAGTATGTGGAAAATAATGTGTTTTTTAACCTTAAACCACATAAACACATTTCATTACTCCAAATACACAAAATAATGTTATTTTTAGCAACATCATATGACCCCTTTAAAGATGTTGAGGCCTTTAACATTTTCTGAGATGTTCAGGCCTTACTTTGACGTCTTTTTAAAGATGTTCAGGGTTTAATTTGGAATTTTATAAAATGCCCAGGTCATACTTAGACATTTGTTAAGATGTACATGCCTAAATTTAAAATTTTTAAGGATGTCCCCATCTTAAATTGGCATTTTCAAAGATGTTTAGACTGTACTCTGACATTTTTAAGATGTTCAGGCCTTCATTTTTAAGATGTTCAATCCTTACTTTGGCAGTTTTAAGATGTGCAGACCTGAATTTGTACAGTGTTTATGAAAAGTTGAATTAGCACAAGATAACCTTTCTACTGGAAGTCAAAATTATTTTCTCTCAATAGGAAGCATGCCACAGATGCTGTTGATTACAACAGAAAATCATTTGCCCCTCAAAAGCTAAAACAAAAACAACAAAAAAAACACACTGACACAATTTTGTTTATTTTTCCAAAATGAAAAGAGTCTAACTTGTTTTCTGTGGTAATCAGCAGCATGCAGCAGATGCTGTCCACCGAGCTTAACCAGAAACATACACATGGCAGATTTTGATATCGAAGAAGAGTCAAGTCACCTTTATATAGTGCGTCCGGAAAGTAATCACAACGCTTCACTTTTTCCCCACATTTTGTTGTTACAGCCTTATTCCAAAATAGATTAAATTAATTATTTTCCTCAATTCTACAAACAATACCACATAATGACAATGTGAAAGAATTGTTTAAAATTTGCTAATTTATTAAAAATAAAATACGTTAAGAAAAAAAAATTAAAATCACATGTACATAAGTATTCAAAGCCTTTGCTCAATACTTTGTTGAAGCACCTTTGGCACAAATTACAGCCTCAAGTCTTTGAGTATGATGCTCCCATTCTTTTTTGCAGTACCTCTCAAGCTCCATCAGGTTGGATGGGAGCGTCGGTGCACAGCCATTTTCAGATCGCCCCAGAGATGTTCAATCGGGTTCAAGTCTGGGCTTTGGCTGGGCCACTCAAGGACATTCACAGAGTTGTCCCGTAGCCACTCCTTTGTTATCTTGGCTGTGTGCTTAGGTTCATTTTCCAACAGGACAATGACCCTTCGCACCAAGTCTAAGGTCCAGAGAGCTCTGGACCAGGTTTTCATCAAGAATGTCTCTGTACATTGCTGCATTCACCTTTCCCTCCATCCCCTACCAACCAGCAAGAATTCTGGCTCCCACAGATTGGTTATGTGCCCATGTGGAACACAGATTAGTCCTGCCACTTTAAGAAGTTACTCCTAATGTCAGCTCGTTAGGTGTATAAGACACCTGTCCACACAATCTGTAGCTTCCATTCCAACCTCTCCCACCACCATGGGCAAGACCAAAGAGCTGTCAAGGATGTCAGAGACAAGATTGTAGATCTGCACAAGGCTGGAATGGGCTACAAGACCATCAGCAAGAAGCTTGGTGAGAAGGAGACAACTGTTGGTGCGATTATTTGGAAATGGAAGAAATACAAAACAACCACTCCTTTGTTATCTTGGCTGTGTGCTTAGGTTCATCTTCCAACAGGACAACAACCCTTCGCTCAAGTCTGAGGTCCAGAGCACTCTGGAGCAGGTTTTCATCAAGGATGTCTCTGTACATTGCTGCATTCACCTTTCCCTCCATCCTGAGGGAAAAACTGCTGCTGAAAAACATCCCCACAGCATGATGGTGCCACCACCATGCTTCACTGTAGGGATGGTATTGGCCAGGTGATGAGCGGTGCCTGGTTTCCTCCAGACATGAGGTCATCAGATCATCAGACATCAGATCAGAAAATTGTTTCTCCTGGTCTGAGAGTCCTTCAGGTGCCTTTTACCAAGGAGTGGCTTCCGTCTGGCCACTCTACCATACAGGCCTGATTGGTGGAGTGCTGCAGAGATGGTTGTTCTTCGGGAAGGTTCTCCTCTCCCCACAGAGAAATGCTGGAGCTCTGTCAGAGTGAACATCAGGTTCTTGGTCACCTCCATGACTAAGGCCCTTCTCCCCCGATTGCTCAGCTTGGCCGGGCGGCTCATTCTAGGAAGAATCCTGGTACTTCCAAACTTCTTCCATTCATGGATGATGGAGGCCACTGTGCTCATTGGGACCTTCAATGCTGCAGAAACATTTCTGTACCCTTCCCCAGAACTGTGCCTCGATACAATCCTGTCTCGGAGGTCTACAGACAATTCCTTGGACTTCATGGCTTGGTTTGTGCTCTGACATGCACTGTTAACTGTGGGACTTTATATAAACAGGTGTGTGCCTTTCCAAATGATGTCCAATCAACTGAATTTACCACAGGTGGACACCAATCAAGTTGTAGAAACATCTCAAGGATGTTCGGTGGAAACAGGATGCACCTGAGCTCAATTTTGAGTGTCATGGCAAAGGCTGTGAATACTTATACATGTGATTTTTATTTTATTTTATTTCGTTTTTGTTTTTTTTTATAAATTTGCAAAGATTTCAAACAAATTTCTTTCAAGTTGTAATTATGGGATATTGTTTGTATAATTTTGAGGAAAATAATGAATTTAATCCATTTTGGAATAAGACTGTAACATAACAAAATGTGGAAAAAGTGAAGTGCTGTGAATACTTTCCGGATGCTCAGTACATCCAGTATATAGTGCTTTATATAATAGATTGTGTCAAAGCAGCTTTACAGTGTTAAACAGGAAAGTATTGTGTCAATAATGGAGGAGGACAATAGTAAACAGTCATTTTTTTCAGTTAAAGTCAGTTCATTGTTGATTCAGTGATGTCAATGAGTTTGTGAGGGACAGCGTAGTAAATCTGTCCAATCAGCTGAAACGCTACGAGAACTACTCTGACATCATGGTGAGCATCAAGAAAGAGATCTCCAGCCTGGGACTACAGCTGTTGCAGAAAGACGCAGCCTCTGACAGTAAAGCACAGGTAACACACACTTTCTCCAACACTATGACACACACACAAAAGCACAAGATCAGCCTTGTAATTTAAAACTGTATGGTTCCAGGGCACAGAGAGTAAAAAGTCCAAGGAGGTCATAAAATCACCCAACAAGAAACCCCCAGCTGTCAAACCTCCACCCAAACAGCCTAAAGAGAAACCCATCAAGCCCAAGAAAGAGGCTCCTGCCAAAGCATCAAAACCTGTGAAGCCAGACCCCACCAGCAAAACCAAGACCTTAGTGCACCAGACGGGAGTCATCAGGGGGATCACATACTATAAAGCCTCCAAGACAGACAACTCTGAGTCACATTCAGCGGGGAGAGGAGAGAGAGGTACGGCGACCGTGCACATCACATCTGTGTTCAATTAATTTCTTCTGAAAACCACCTCAGTGTAGCTCTACCAGAGCCAAAAGCAATTGGTTTTACTGTGGGTGATAAAATGGGTGAAACACTTCTATATTCTTGAACATCATAGAGACTTGAGGCAACTACTCAGAACACATTAAGATGACTTTTGCCCAGATTTTTGTTTCGATTTAGTGAGAGCCAGTCTGCAGGTTTGAGTTGACAGATTTCATAGAAAATTGTATAATGTATGATGGTCTCATGCGTCTCCTAGAAACAAGGCACGTGTTTGAGCCTGAGTTTGCTGCTGTCTTACAAGTTAGCCTAATCTTTTTTCTTTAAGACGGGTCATCATTTTTTAATTTTTTTTCATTACAGTTTTTAAATAAAAATTTCATTTAAAGGGGTCCTATTATGCTTTTTCACTTTTTCAACTTAGTCTGTAATGTTGCTGTTTGAGCATAAAAAAGATCTGCAAAGTTACAAAGCTGAAAGTCCACTTCAAAAGGATACAGGAACTATTCGAGCCGTTCATGCCAGACTGGGGAGAGATTATTGCATGTTGTAATAATGCAAAATATGTGAAAAATAATGTGTTTTTCGAAAAACCTAGTATGAGAGCCTGTTCTAGTACACCCCCAAAACAAAATCAAGACTTTGTAAAAGAGCATAATAGGACCCCTTTAAATAAAAACGTAGATTAGTCCAAATTGAATTAAAAATATAAGACTGATTGCCCCTTGGTTAACTGCTAGTTGGTCAGACTCGTACTTTAGACACTGTCTTAACATAGAGGCTAAGTTTATGCAACTGGCCCTAGAACACCCTAGAAACCTCACTAGCAACCACCCAAAACACCTTAAGGCTGGAATGCACTACACAACTTTTAAAATCTGACAAGATTTTAAAATGCTAGGGATCATAAACTTGCAGACTTTGTTAACAGTCACAGAGGAAAACTGGACATCACACACACTAAACGACTGAGGATCACACACTACCAGACTTTTAAGTCATTCCATTCACAACAAACTCACGCTGAAACACGTGCCTTGTTGCTAGGAGACGTGTGACAATATGTGTTCTAAAATCAGCACAAAATATCAACCATGTTTGATCTCCTCCGACTGGAATGGATCAAAGTCTGAAGAAAAAAATGTAGAATCTGTGACCATCATACACATGCAATTTTCAATGGAATCTGTCAACTCCACTCTGCAGACTGGCTCTTGACTTTCGGCAACTAGCGTCAACTTCTCCAGACTGTAAATTGGGCAAATATCGGAGCAAAAGTTGTGTAGTGTATTCCGGCCTTTAGCAACATGTATCATTGTGGCAGCAATTTTTGGAAATCACCACTCACATTTTCTTCTCATCAATCTGGACCTGAAATCAGTAAAGTGGATCTATAACTTCCTTTCCGGTTATATATGCATCTCTTGAGAGGCAGTAAGAAACTTGAGTTATTTTAGTGAAATGCTATTCTGTATTTCTTTATTTTATCAGCAGTATCAGCAAGAACTTTCCTCTGGGATGAAATCATTTCCATTGCTTTCCAGAGCCAAATATAAAACAGTGACATGCAGGGAAGAGAAAATAATCACAATTTTGCAGAGGTGTCCAAAACTATTACAGTACTGGCCCTGTGTCCTTGAAAGACAGATAGCAGTGATGGAGTGTGTATGAATATCTGATGTACTTATGTCCTGTGCTCATGTCCACGTGTTTAATGTTCCAGACGCTCCCACAGTGCAGGAAGAGGAGGCTCAGATTAGGGTCTCTCCGCTGACATTGTCTTACGGAGATCTGTTGTACATGGCATGAGATGAAATGGGAAATGATTTTAGCAAATGGCTGCAATATAACAAAGAGTGAAAAATTTAAGGGGGTCTGAATACTTTCCGTACCCACTGTATATAAGAGTTTAAAATTAAATTAATACATTTATTCAACAAGGACACGTTAAAGCATATTAGAATGATTTCTGAAGAATCATATGACACTGAAGACTGGAGTAATGATGCTGAAATTCAGCTTTGTCATCACAGGAATAAAGTACACTTTAAATATATTAGAATACAAAGCAATTAGGGTCTCTCCGCTGACATTGTCTTACGGAGATCTGTTGTACATGGCATGAGATGAAATGGGCTCAGTGAAGGAATGTCGAATCCAAGCGTTGCAGGCAGAGACTGGGTTACAATGCAGGAAGTTTCTTCGAGTGCAACATCTCATTAATAATACTTTTGATGTGAGGAATCTGAAATGCTCGCGGTAAAACTTCAAGCCAAGAGTTGTAATTTGCCTTTCAAACCCTCCCTGGCTTTCTCCTTATGCTCTTTTCAGAAAACTCAGCCAAAACCCACGCTGGCCACCTAACCGAGGACAAAAGGGGCTCCAAGCTAGTTTTGGAAGAGTCTGAAATAATGTCGACTGTGCTGCCAATAACAACCACTACGCTTGTTGCTGTGACAACAACAAGCACCACACTAGCAACCACCAGTGAAGTGCCTATCATGAATTCAACCCTGTTTACACCAGCACCAGAGAAAGCAATGGACAGTGGAGGAAAGACACACTTGCACAAAGCAGGTACAATTTATTCATATATATATACTGTATATATATATATATATATATATATATATATATATATATGTGGCTGTATTAGATCAAAAAGCAAAGGGTCTGAATCCTTAGGACCATGTGATATTTCAGTTTTTTTTTTTTAATAAATCTGCAAAAATGTCAACAATTCTGTGTTTTTCTGTCAATATGGGGTGCTGTGTGTACATTAATGAGGAAAAAAAATTAACTTAAATGATTTTAGCAAATGGCTGCAATATAACAAAGAGTGAAAAATTTAAGGGGGTCTGAATACTTTCCGTACCCACTGTATATAAGAGTTTAAAATTAAATTAATACATTTATTCAACAACGACACGTTAAAGCATATTAGAATGATTTCTGAAGAATCATATGACACTGAAGACTGGAGTAATGATGCTGAAATTCAGCTTTGTCATCACAGGAATAAAGTACACTTTAAATATATTAGAATACAAAGCAGTTATTTTAAATTCTAATAAAATTTCACAATTTACTGTATTTTTAAACAAATAAATGCAGACTTGGTGAGCATAAGAGACATCTTTCAAAACATTAAAAAGTCTTACTGACCCCAAACTGTTGAAAGGTATTTTTTAAGTATGCTGTGTGTGGAGATATATGGAAATCTCTATTGATTTCTTTGAATAGGTAAATCTTTAGACTGTGAGGGCACACTGGCTTCAGTGGAGATGCCAGAGAAGCATCACAGTTATGGACGGAATGAAGGAGCCTGGATGAAAGACCCAGTGGCCAAAGACAACAAGATCTATGTTACGAACTACTACTACGGAAATAACCTGGTGGAGTTCCGCAACCTGGAAAATTTCAAACAAGGTAAAAACAGCAAAACAAAGAGGGGCACATTTACTAAAGAGTTCTGCCACTTTCAGTTCTTGCTTGCTAAACATGCACAATCCATTTTAAGGCTCTAAAGGCACTGAAAAATCACTGTACCATGAGTATTTGAAATGTTGAATGTTTTTTAATGTAAATTAGACTACAGATAACACCTATATAAAATATAGATTTTAAGAATTTTTTTTTATTTACTATGATAATTTGATTAATTTTTTATTTACACTTTACTGGCCACAGTAATTAATCAAATGATGATTAAATCGTGGAGAAGTGTGCTATAATCAGACATATAGCAATTCAGGTGCCTGGATCGTAGCGGTGAAAACCCAGCATTTGAAATTAACCTGCAAGTTGGAGAATCACACTGCGAAAATGGCATTCAGAGCAAATTTTATTACTGACTTGTATCATTTCTTTAGTGAACTGGGCGTTAAACCAATGTAGACAGCGTGTTCAAATAAAAGACGCTATCAGCGGACACAATTAATTCTTAAGTTAATTTCCCTCTGATATGTAGTTGAGAATATTGCTCCATGATGGCCTGTATTGTGTAGCTAATATAAATTATACATGCATAAAGTGTAACAAATTTGATCATAATCAAGATCTTTCGAATATCTTCATCAATGATAGGTCGCTGGAGTAACCTCTACAAGCTTCCCTACAACTGGATAGGAACCGGTCATGTGGTCTACAACGGTACCTTCTATTACAACAGAGCCTTCACCAAAAACATCATCAAATATGACTTGCGCGTGCGCTATGTGGCAGCTTGGACTCAGCTTCATGATGCGGTGTATGAGGACATCACACCTTGGAAATGGCGAGGACATTCAGACATCGATTTCGCCGTAGACGAGAGTGGCCTCTGGGTGATCTACCCAGCGCTGGATTACGACTACTCGCAACACGAAGTCATCGTCATCAGTAAGCTGGACCCAAACGACCTGTCCATGAAGAAGGAGACGACATGGAGGACTGGGCTGAAGCGCAGCTCGTACGGAAACTGCTTCATCGTGTGCGGCGTGCTGTATGCAATTGACGTGTACAACCAGAAAGAGGGTGAGATTTTGTACGCCTACGATACGCACACGAACACGGAGGCCGCTCCACGTTTGCCGTTCACTAATGAGTACGCCTTTGTGACCCAAGTGGACTACAATCCCAAAGATAAGGTGCTGTATGCCTGGGACAATGGCCATCAGATGACCTACAATATTCACTTTGTGGGCCAGTGAAGTTTTGTCTAGAATCTGACGCGGTGGCCGTCTTCTTTAATTTGGCCTGGTGCATAGGAAAATACACCATTTATGGGAGCACATTGCTTTCTTTATTGGTATGGTGATTGAGATAAAGTTTAAACTCTATGGAAGCAGAATAAAAATATAAAGAAGGTTATTGTGATGTTTTATCTCACAATTCTGACTTTTTTTCCTCAGAATTGTGCACGTGTGTGCGGTCATGTGTCTAAAAAAATCTAGATGTTAATTCCAAATTCTGTGGGAAAAGACAGAATTGTGAGATGTAAACTCAGAATTCCAAGAAAAAGTCAAAATTGCAAGAATGAAACTCAGAATTAAAAAAAATAATAAAAAATCAGTCGTGATATAAAAGGTTGCAATTATCTTTTTTATATTTTTATTACGTTGCAGAAATACGCTTTCATAAAAATGAGTCCACATGATTTGGGAATATATTTTTACCCTCAACAATAGTGTTATTGGACTTTAAGGTGATGCATGTCTCATTTTTTTCCCAATTTGAGGCATTTTATTTTATTTTATTTAGTTTATTTTTTATTTTTTACTTTATTTAGTTTTCTTATACAACATAAACTAGATCAAAAAGCGTGGTCCAAAAAAGAACAACAACAACAACAGTACGGTACAGACAGATATACAAAAATATAAGTAAACAGAAAAAGTATTAATAATTGTTAGGGATAAATATCTCTGATGCATGCAATGTAAAAGATCAATTCGATCAAAAGATCACAATGATTACATCTTGAAGGAATACAGAAAAATAACAAATAAATAAATAAAATACAAAAAAAAAAAGAGCATGTCTCATTTTCATGTAGTTAATAATCTGGCCCCAACATTTAAAAAATGGTACAGTTAAGGATCTCGAAAAAACAAAGTGTAACCGTAATGTTTTTACACAGCTTTTTGCAGTAATGTTTATTCTTACATTCAAGATTTGCAAAATGTGTAGTAATATCATTTAAAAGCAACAAAATATCAATTTTGGGCAATGGGATTTTGAATGTTATGTAAATTTCATTATTTTAGATATTCATTTTGTAAAATATTACATTCTCATTGTAAATATTTCCAAGAATAAGTTGTGTTACAATATTCCTGTTATTAAACCTCAGATTTATCATCCCCAGATATTTAATATTATAGTCATTCAACATAAATGTTTACTTATGATTACTCCTGGATGAGTTACAATGTTTTATATGTTGCATTTATGTGTAAAATTTCACATTTTGTGTACAATAGTTCAAATAAACTTACTCTAAAATCATTTGCTGTGTATGAATTTGCTAATGCACAATGTAATGTTTTACATTCTGTACCTCACTATGTGCTATACAATACAGTATGCAACCATAAATGGTTCAGATACAATAAATAATTGTCTCTTGACATACAACTCCCCATCTCCAGATGTCTGACATTTTTTAAATGTTGCAATATATGATTGAAGACACATTTTACATAGTGGGAAATAAAGATCAGAGTGTACAGTAAATTTAGATTTAATGTTTTATTATTAGCACTTTTAGCCTTGTGAAAGGAAGTATACTTTAATATAGAACTTATATAATATCCTTCAAAAGAATATGCTTAAGTGCAAACTAAATGTATTATTTTCAGAAATTAATTGCATGTTAATTGCAATTAAATAAAAATGTATTAAAGTTTAAAATGATATTGAATGCACTTTGCAGCACTTTTTTGACCCTCAAGTAGGACTTGATAATTTTTATATGCAATTTCATAATTACATCTATTGTCTCATTATTTATTTATTATTGTACTTTAAGTACTTTTAAGCAAAATTATTAATTTGACATCAATACAAAGTGTACTTTAAAACACAGTCATAAGTGTACACTTAAGTGGCCTTTTACTTCATATAATATCATTTGCCAGCATAGCTTTTTAAAAATATACTTTTAAAGGGGTCATAGGATGCCCATTTTCCACAAGTTGATATGATTCTTTAGGGTCTTAATGAAAAGTCTGTAACATAGTTTGGTTAAAATTTTTCAATGGTAGTGTAAAAAACACATTTTTTTACCCTGTCAAAAACAGCTCTTTTCAGATCAAGCCGTTTTTGTAGCATTTTCCTTTAAATGTTAATGAGCTCTGCTGTCCCCGCCCCTCTCTTTCAAGCTGCTCTCTGAGGGACTGTTTACTTTAGCCGCATTCATCGTGAAACTTGCTAATTAGCACATTATTAGGAAAGGCGATTTGCAAAGATTCATTACAAAACATTATACTCACTTCTTCTGTAGATGAGGCTGGATCATGAATGATTCGCGCGAACATAAGACGCATTTAGGCAGATCGGGGGAGCATTCCCTTTAGAAACAAATGTAAGCCATTGTGAGTTCAGCAGCTCAGATGTCAGAAGTAAATGACAACTGCTGTGACATCACACAGACAAGCATCTGAGATCGGCTCGATTTGAGAAAGGGGAAAACATTTAACACGATTAAAAAAAAAACACTGGGTGGATTTTTATCATTATAGGGTGGTTGTGTACACACACTGCCAACACACATTTCAGTTCAAACAACTTGTAAAAGTGCATGTAGCATCCTATGACCCCTTTAAGGCTTGAAGTACACTACTAGTTCACATTTAAGTGCACTTCTTTTTCACAAGGTTGCTATTGATCATACCAAGAATAGTTGACCCATCATTGATAATTCTCATCATTTACTCACCCTCACGTTCCAAACGTATATGACTTCCTTTCTTCTGTGGAACACAAAAGAAAATGTTTTTGAGAAATGTCTTATATCCACAATGAAAATCTATGGGTTCCAGTGTTGTTTTGAACCCCATTGACTTTCAGTATATGGACAAAAACAGCTGAAACAGTAGAAACTATACACAGAACACCCTAGTAACCGTTTAGTTACATGCTCAAATCCATTAATGACACTTTTTCCTGTAAGCAAATCAGTGGCTGTTTATGTGCAAATGGCACGCAGATTTCTGGTCTTTCAGGTCTGAGGTCACATTCATTCTGTCTAAGCAGGAAAGAGGAAACCCAGATAAAGTGTTTTCATGAGGTCATTGTTGCATTTTGGGAGGTCTGGGTGTGGTGATGATTGACTGACACGACAGGGTGTGTGGATGAACTCAGGAGAGGTATAGTATATTGTTGGAGGAACAGGGCGGAGGTTCGGCTTTAATGCGTGGAGGGTTTGCATCTGAATTAACCCACAAGACACTTAATCATGAGCCAAAGTCTTGCACAGCAAAATTCCAAGCCAACATCAGTACTCCATCAATGATGCACAAATAAACCACATCTATCTGTTAGACTACAGCTCAACTGCACAGCGGGATAAGGATTTGTTTTATGTGCAAGCCACACGTGGATACTTGCGTTTCTTTGTTAACATGGGCATTAAGACATCAAGACCTCACTCGTGACCCTAATAAAAGCTGCAGGTTGTCATATTTGGTGCAAGATGTCATTAATATGATTAAACTGAGAAGACAAATGAGCCGTAGTGGGTTAGTGTTGTGCAGCTCCAATGTCCCAGACCCCCTAAAGGTCCTCTTGGCTTGCCTACAAGTCGAGTGTCGGAGAGTCTAGTCAACCTTTCCAACACACACCCTAATCCAAATTACAACGCTGGGAATTTGAGTCATCTATTCCTTCAAAAACACAGATTTTGAAGCCACCGAACACGGTCCCAGAGGTACAAGATCGAAATGTTAAGAGGGTCGACAAGTTCTTGAATTTTGTACATGACCGCTCACTCAAAAAGGGGATTTCCATTCCTGCCCATCAGAGGCTTTGTCCTCCACTGCAGGCATAACTGGATTTTGTTGATTTCATTGGAGCTCATTGAGGTTAATTTCCACAGCATTCCTTAATTCAATGCTCTCTGAATGCAGTTAAGGAGTACAAAACAAAATCTGAAGCCTGACCACAAGGGGACTGAAACTCATTATGACAATAACACTGCAAGAAGCCCCCAGAAGTCCTTTACTTACGCAAGGCACTTAGCAAATAAGTGTTGATTTGGCAATTGAGTTTGCAATTGTCTGGCTGCGATTCAAATCATATTTTATGCATCACAATACTAAGAACTTGTTTGCTTGATTCATCTGTGGAAACCCATCAAAACAAAACAAGAAAAAATGTGAAGTCTGCAACAGGCTATATTAGTTAATTAAAAGCCGTGTTGGGGAGCAACGAACTCAGACTTTACATTTCTCTCTCTCTCTCTCTCTCTCAGCACTGGGGAAAAAATCTAAAGTACTTATTACAAATATAAATAAAGTAATATAAAAATATACTTAAGTGTGAATTGAATGTAATGTTTTCAGACACTTGATTGCATGTTAATTCTAATTAAATTAAAAAGGTATTATAGTTTAAATTCATGTTAAATGCAATTAGTTGAACCTAAGAGTGTTTTTTGACCCACTTAAGTAGGACAAGTACATATTCACATGTAATTTCAGAATTACTTGGGTTAAAGATGTACTGCTGGATGTACTGACAAGCATTTATGGTAACTAAAATATCCTTTAATGTTAGTTTAAATTATAATCAAATACTTACATGTGCTTTAGTATGTTAGTCAACACATCAATATAAGTGGTTTAAAGCACAACAAAATATTAAATATGAAAAAAAAATATTAAAATGTAAAAAAAATTGAAAACTTTTTTTTTTTATTATATTAAAACAAAACTTTAAAGTGTCATAAAACTCTACTCTAAGTACACTTCAGTGGCCTTTTATTTCAATACAATTTAGCACACTTATTTTTCACAAGGGAAGTTTTCACAAAATAACTCTAATTGGTACTTTCCAAAGAAACATTCCACATTTGCCATGTACTGTAAAGAGTAACAAACCTACAAACACAAGCAGAACAGATTACTTCCAGACACATTGAGAGATGACACACTAGAGGAGAAACACAAAAGACAGAACACATAAAATGTAATGATGCAAAAAAAAATTCAAAAACACTTTTTATTGATTTGGCCGTGTGGGCAATGGTGCTTGAAAGACCAAAATATGCAACAAAATGTGGCGACAGGGTTACTCAGCTGTTCGGTTTAACACAATGGTGATGAAAACGGACAAGAAAAATACACAGACAGACAAGAAAAAAAACACACACAAACACACGCTCAATCACCCATCCATCC